GAGTATCCGAGCCTCGTGAACAGATACGACCAACAAATCCAATACAGGCACCCCCTGCGCTGCCTCTTAGGCAGTTATGTACGACACGTCGTCCTTCGCCTATTAGGGTACCAGAGCCACGTGAACAGACACGACCGACAATTCAACGACAGCCTCCTACTACTAGGGCACCACCTCCGCCCCGAAAGCAGCCTCCTTGCTTCACATCTACGACATATCGCCCTCCACCAACCAGAGGACCCCAGCCATGTGAAATACAGACAAGACCGACGACAATTCAACGACAGCCTCCTACCACTAGAGCACCACCCCCGCCCCGTACTCAGCCACCTTTCTTGAGATCAACGACACGTCGTCCTCCACCTACTAGAGCACCAGAGGCATGTGAACACCGGACTACACCAACCACACCTCCACCATACACAACTAAAGCGCCAGAACCATGCAATAAACAGACAAGACCATCGATGCCTCCTCGTCCTGTAGCGCCCGTCTTTAAACCAAATTCACCACAAGTGCCTAATGTGAAACCAACTCAAGTTATATCTGCTCCACCGTCACCGCCAGTGCAAGGAGTATCGAATATAGAGCATGTTGCTGACAACTGTGTCAACGGTGAGGTGTTCCCGACGACAGGCGGAAACTGCAATCAATACATGATGTGTTACTTCGGAAAGACTTTAGTGATGAATTGCCCGGCTGGTCTGGCTTTCAACATTGACATCAAGAGCTGCGATTGGGCTGACAATGTACCAACTTGCAATCCTCCCGGTTAGTATATGTTTCAAAAACATTTTAAACTAGCTGTTGCCCGTGACTTCGTCCACGCAATATTAAAATAAAACAAGCCTATAATATGCCTATAATATGCCCGTCTATGTCAGCTACCCTTCAGTGTAAGTACGGTTGCAAACTGCCCAGCCGTTTCGGAAATTGCCCGGAACAAAAGCGGCTTCCGGTCAGACTGACAGACAAAAATGTTTAAATGCAATTTTCGTCTTACATGATCTTCTCGAAATCTGGAATTTTTCTTTTGATATTAAAAATGGACACTCCAATTTTATTATATGTCTAGATTGAATCTAAATGAAGACAAAAGTGACTGAATATATGTATGACATTTGATAAGTGTGCTTAATTTACAATTTCTCTTTACAGCATTTGAAGGATTAACTTGCCCGACCGATGTGAATAATGACCACATCGTTAAATACAGGTACGTTAAATTAATCACGGGGTAAGGTTTTAGTTCAGAAAACATTTAACAAAGCTTTATTAACTACAAAGTAAAATCAAATGTTACGTCTAAAAAATACGTTAAGAACAGCTAAAGAAATAATTTAATATTAATCTTATGAGTCTTACTAATTTTATAAATGCGAATGTTTAGATGGATGGATGTTTGTTAGAGTTTGTAGCCTAAACAGCTGAACAGATCTCTATGAAATTTTGTATTGATGTAGAGGATAGTCTGGAAGAACACATAGGCTACTCGCTTTTTTTTTATTTTACGCGGATGGAGTCGCGGGCGAAATAAACATTTATGACATTTTGTGTCAGGTACCGTGAAAGCTGTCGTCAGTACGTCGCCTGTCACGTGGGCAAGCCGCGTCTTCTGAGCTGTGAGGCGGGACTATTCTTCGACGAGTATACCAACTCTTGTGTCGACGCTGAATATGTCACCAACTGTTCAGATTTTCTGTACTAAACACGCGTAGCAATAAGTTACACGTGATTTATACATAGCTATAGTTATTTATTTTAGATGTAAATAGGTTGCACTGTCGAAATATTAAAAAAAAAATACAATTGGTCTTCCTATGTCTATCTCTTAGAAACTGATCATTCATGCATATGTTTCGCCGGTGGCATTCTATACTTATTTATTTAAAGCATTGTTAATTTATTAAATTTTTTGGTGTTGTATGACAAATACAAAAGCTACAATAAATTATTAAAAACATAACATTTTATTTCACTAACTTACACTATAGATAAGATAACTGATTTTTAAAACAAATGAATCATCGTCATTTTTAATTGTTATAAATATTACGAACAGTTACAATCTCAAATACCAAAGCAATCAATATAAAATTTGTTATCGTAACGTCTTATAACTACGAGTACGAGTTATCTCATTTAACGCACTGAAATTCTCTTGAACAGTAGTGAAATTATTTACTTACTCCATTTTTTATTATGTTGAAATTCACAGTTATAGTTTTGTTTGTCACATTACGTGCACAAGGTATGTATCATTCAATTTTATTTAATTTAGAAAATAAAAATTACATTAATATCATTTATTTAATTCCTCATTTTACCTCAATAGTTGACCACTCTTCTCTGAACCATAACTTGTATTATTTTTCAGTTAACTCAGAAGTTAACCCGAATAATAATAATTCAAATACAACTGAACCAGAAGGATCGAAAAATCTCTCACCACTGTTAACAATGAAAACTGGCAACCCAGTGTACATTACGAACCAAGAACAGAAAAACAACTTTTACTTATATCCGATTTTAGAATCCAATCCAACTGTCCAAACTATAGATATACACAAATACGATCCAAACACAAATATACTTAAAACCATTATTATAATCCCACCGAAAATTAAAAAGACCTGTGGTCACAACTCGACTGTTTTACAACCGCCTGTTGAAACAGACAAACCAACCAACCAACTATGCGATAATATTAAAACAACCACTACGAAGACTACCACAGTTTCGCCAATTACGAAAAGACCCTGTTATTTAACTACCACGGACACCTCACCAACTCCAGCAAATGAGCGTACAAGAAATCCAGTAATAAGAGATCCGGATGGCTCTACTAAATGCTCGCAAGATGGTGTTTACCGTGCTAATAATGTTACTTGTGACCAATATTATGTGTGTATTTATGGAATACAATATTTGATGGACTGTCCATATGGACTTGTTTTCAATGAACAATTAAAAGTTTGTGATTGGCTCGAAAACGTAACGAATTGTAAACCACCTGGTAACTATTTGTTTTTACTAATTACGCATTACTTTACAATTTACAATCTTTCTAACTCTTAGATCTTTAATGTGTATATTTCATGTCCGATATAAAATATTTAATTGCAGCATTCAAAAATTTCACCTGCCCTGACGAAGGTTACGGGACGGATGGCGATTTGATCTTAAAATTCAGGTTAGTCTTGATCGTTATATAGTACTAATTAATATCGACAAAACGCCGTATTAATTTGCTAGTTTTAACGGAATATAAATCAACACTATAACCAGGTAAATCTAAGCAGAATGATCGGTTGTGCATTTGATACAACCAAGTTATATATACAATTGGACCTTTTTTCAGATATCGAGACAGTTGCAGTCAATACGTGGCTTGTCATAAAAGAAAAGCCCGTCTTCTTAGTTGCGACTCAGGGTATTACTTCCACGAAGAATCTAGCATGTGTATGAACTATAGAAGTAGTAGTAACTGTAGAGATGTGTGGTACTCCTACTAAAGCCAGGTAATTTAGTATCCATTCAAACTATTCGGACTTAGCAATAATTTTACTTATAAATTATTAAATTATGAAGAAAGTCAAATGCTTACATATTTTTTTAGTTCAACGGCGACAATTAAATAAAATATAAAACTGAAATATTCTTTAACTGGTAACCCCTTCTAATGAGTTTTCATTTACACAAACTATCTTGAAACCTGATTGGCTAATATTACTGATGTGGACAGAGTAAAAATTTCAACCAATTAATAAAGTCGAAAGGCGATGTATGACCATTTAGGCCAATAAGCAGTAAACAGTAAAGAACGAACAAAGCATCTTTTTCTGCGAAATTAGCGCGGTCTCAGTTTTACAAAAATTCAAATTTGAATTTTTACCTGAGCCTAGATCTGTGTTGGTTATGACCTTTGTTTACTATTTTTAGGCTAATGAATTAATTCAGGCCACGATTTTTTAACAATATTTAGACTTAACATTAAATATGAGATGACGACTGGTACGACAAGCAGGGGCGGCGCGACGTTCCTCTTCTAGCGCCAACCGCGGACCGCAGCCCTGCCGAGCATCGTCCCAGTTGATACGGATCGAACGATTGCGTAGTCACTGCACGGTGCCATAGCCTCTGTGTTGGGGAATACTGTTCTGTTCAGTTTTATTGTTGCAGTGAATTCCAAATTTAAAAATTAGTGCAATTCTTATTGGTAATTAAAATGTCAAAGGTGATCTAACATTAATTCAATAAAAAGTATTACGAAGATTCGATGTCAGATTGTACTCAAAATGGAAGATTCCTACATTATAGCGAACTTTCACGCGCTGTGTCGTCTTTGCTTGTCTAAAAGTTCGCTAACAATATCAATTTTCGCTGCCGCTCCTGATGAAGAGTTGAATATGCCTTTAACCTCCAAAATAGCTGAATGTTTTGAAATGCAGGTTGGTAATCACTAGTCAGTACATATCTGTTTTTGCATTTATCAAATAAATGCCTAATGGCACTTTAGCAGCAGCAACCTCAATGGCTTGTGTTTATTCCAGGTGGATCCTAATGATGGTCTTCCAGGAAGAATATGTTACAAATGTCTATTCAAAGTTAATAAATGTTCAAAGTTCAAATTACAGTGCATTCAAAATGAAGCTAGATTGAAGCAAATAACTAACAGAGTGAATGAGCTAGACACTTCAAATTCATCTGATTATAGTAATTATAATTATAAAAATCATGAAATGGTAAAACCAAAGCCTGAGGACTACATAGTTGAAGACAGTGTAGTGATGGTTGTAGACCCCAGTTTAGATTATGACACCTCCGAGGAGGAATCAGAAAATGTTGAACAACCTGAGAATGAAAAAAATGAATGTGAAAACATTCAAGAGGGTGAGCCCATAACTGAATCGTTTTTCAAAAATGTATCCATGTGCCAGTACTGCGATCAAGCATTTGTTTCTCAAGAAAAATGTAAAGAGCATGAACAGAATTACCATGACCCTAATATGCCATACAAATGTGTGGAATGCAGCTTGGTTTTTGCAGAGCGTAGTCAATATGTACAGCACACTAAACATGTCCACCAAAGTGACAAGCCTTACCATTGTCCTGAATGTGAAAAATGTTTTGGTAGAAGATCAGATTTAAGAAAACATTCAGTTGTTCACACAGGCATAAGACCTTTCCAATGTCATTATTGTCTTAAGAGTTTTTCACGTAATACTAATTTAAGTAAGCATTTGCGTATACATGCAGGACACAAACCCCATGTCTGTCCAATGTGTCCCAGAAGTTTTGTAGCAAAGGGAGATTTACAGCGTCATGTACTCATTCACTCTGGTATGAAACCTTATGCTTGCAGTAAATGTCCTTTATCCTTTGGTAGAAGGGATAAGCTGATAAAACATGAATTAAAACATGTTCCTATTAATTCGCAAATGAATAGAATTGAATCAGAAATTGATCAAGAGACCCATGATATGGTTGTCAGTATTAATCCTTTTAGCAACATAATGACCTCTCCTACTCAGCTCAATGCTGAAAATTCCATTGGAGATTATGACTTTCCCAGTGTACCTGATCACATTGTAGGTGAAAGTAGTTTTATAAATCATGTAAGAAAGAACCCTCCCACCCCTAGTAAGTCATTACAAGGCTCGCCTAGTAAGCAGAAAATGACTAACAAAAACAAACCAAAGAACATCAAATGCCATCAATGTACGAAAAGATTTTCATCCCTAGATGCATATAAAACACATGTTTCTGTCGCGCATATTGGATCTAGAGGTTTTCAATGCAAAGTGTGTTTTAAAAAGTTCTCCAGGAAACGAGAATTGGACCGCCATTCGCAAACTCATATGGGCATGAAACCATTTACATGCAGTAATTGTGATAAGAAATTCAACACTAAAGAGAAATTAGATAATCATGAACAAACACAGGAGTGTTTGGTAGTTAACATGCCATGCATTGAATGCGGTTTGACATTCAAAAAGAAGGCTGATTTAGTAGCACATATAAAATCTCACTTCACAGATACTTTTGATGAAAAACTTTGCATGAATGAAATTAAAAAAGAGACAGAAACTGAATTCCAGCTTGATGATAACTTTTATGAATTGGAAACCTGAGACTTGGATTTTGACATTCAAAAAATGTTTCAATGATATATAAGAGAATTTTAATGTGAATATTAAATACTAATTTGATTGATAATGTTTAAAATTATGTCCATTAATATGTAATTTAGTGTAATTATGTTTATATCCTTACATATTACAAAATTTAATGTAAATACATACTTTTCGGCGTAAGTTACTTCCACTATTTGTAAAGGATTTTATGAGCAAATTTCTGTAAATAGATCTCAACATGTTTAGCACCAGAATTATATTAAATGCATTGATTTCCAGATATAGTAAATAAGACCTTATCTAATTCATAGTGTGAAATATTTAAATGCAAAAAGCACATTAATATATCTTGTTGAAAAGTTGTTAATTCTCATAATGTAGGTGATGTAACCAAATAAATGTTTTAATTATCAACACAGGGTTTTATTGAAGATATTAAAAAAACTAATTTCGATTATAAAATTTTTATTATCCTGCTAAAGGGTTTGCATGAATTGTGACAGATGTAATCCGAACTTCTGTTAAAGGTTTGAATGTTTTGGGGTTAACAGCCAACTTTTCCAAATCATCAAGGGCCTCAAATCCATCAATAATTCTGTAAAAAAAAGTAGAAATATTAGCTTTCATATGTGAGCCTTGGAAGTAGACCAAGTTGGGAACAAACTCAAGGAATTGTGTTTCCACTGCTGTAATACCTATTTAGAAACATCATTATCACAGTTTTTAAGAGAATGAAAGGGACAATTTTTGTAGGGTTTTATAGACTGTGAATCTTTATTTCCTTAATAATTAAGATTTGGGGTGATTACTTGTTAGAGGCTTACCACTTTCCATTATAAAGATAACTTAAGATTTAATAGTTGCTGTATCATGATAAATCTTTGCTAGAAAGAATAATTTTGTTCAATTAAAGGTTTACCTTCCAAAAATAGTATATTTCAAATCTAAATGTGGTTGTTCAGCATATGTAAAGAAGAATTGACTTCCATTTGTGTTTGGTCCATTGTTTGCTAAACTCACTATTCCTCTTGCATTGTGCTAAAAAGGAGAAATGTTAAAATTATATCCAATTAAAAAGTACGATAATGAGTTTAATACAAATTCTATTCACTACCTTGAGCTCTTCTCGAAATTCATCATCAAATTTTTTACCCCATATTGAATTTCCTCCTTTCCCTGTACCAGTTGGGTCTCCTGTTTGAACTATGAAACCCTAAAAGAAAAAATACGAAGTACAAAATTAAATTTTTAATTATAATAAATACATATTATATTATCTGTAAATTTTTGTTTATTCGTTTTAATAACACTATTTTTGAAATCAGGTTATGGTAACCAAACTCACCTTGATGTTTCTATGAAATAAGCAACCGTTGTAATAATCACTAGCACAAAGTGCCAGAAAATTTTCACATGCTTTAGGACATTGCTCGCAAAATAATTCAATTTTTATGTCACCTACGTCTGTGTGTAATGTAACTGACATCTTCTTGTTTCTATATTTTATTCTTTACCTTAAAGAAAGTTGTGCTTTGTGCAAGTTGTAATTATCAACATAAATTCAAAAAACAATTTGTTTACTTTACATAGAGCTCTAGTCCTCAAGATCAACAACCACGACAATGACAAGTGAGTTGACATATGACATTAATTAGACAGTGACAGTTTGGCACTGAAAAAGTAAATGTCCATGACCATTGCTCATACGTCCACGCCCAAATTATCTTTTCTGTATTTTTAAAATGTAATGTTAAATTACAAAGCCAATAAAATGTTAAAAAAACGAAAAGTTTTAAACAGTAACTACAATTGATATATTATTTATCTCCATTCTCAAAACATACTTAGTTTTAATGTGTATGACTCATAGACATGAGTAGAGATAGGACGCCTATCTACGGAATCAAGTACAACAATGGACAAATATGTTCACAAAACCATTTTGCTTTAATAAAAAAAACGACTACTATTTAAAATTATTTTATTGAGATCTAAATAAATTGTAAAATACTATTCACTACCGCCTGCTCTCTCGTTTTGTCCGGCATGCGGTTCGTGAGTATTTTCATCCATGCCTTGCTCGCCGTAATTTCCTAGTATTCTTTGGCCAGTAGGATCAAATGGTGATTTCAAATGTAGTGTAGCCTTATATTTAGTTCCCATAACTTCTATTTCATAGTTGCCTTCTTTTAAAAAGGTTTTTGTAACTTCGGAACCTCGATTGCTAATGTAACCGATTCCTATAGGCTTGTCAAGATAATAACCGAAGTCGCCTCTCCTCAAATATCCAACAGGTTCACCATTTCTGAATATGCCTTCTTGACCAAATAACGCTACCTACAAAAATAAAAAACTTAAATTTAGTCTGTACAAGATTAGAAACTTTATTGGCAGTTTGTCGAGTCATACCTTGTCATCAAGTGTGAAGTATGCATGCTTTTTCGTGACTCCGTTTAATCTAGCTTTCGTTACTTGTTCATTGCCAATGTACTCTCCGTCTTTCCTACAAGCGAACCCTAAGTTTGATTCTATAGGATTATCATCCGATCTCAAGTCGGCATTCCACAAATGATAACCTGAAAAAATAAACACGTTAAATAAATATTAGTTCTCTTATTTTATTACTTTTTATACGGAATTTCCAGAATGGCTTAACGGATTTAGCTGAAATTTGGCATAGGTGTAGATCACAGTCGGGAAGAACACATAGGTTACTATGTTTTTTTTTTTTAATGCGTGCGGCATAAATCTCAAGCACAAGCTATAACATATTGTTGCAATTAATACTCTTAGGGCCTATCCTATTACTGGCTGATAGAGGCTCAGATAGCTTAAAAATGACGTCACTGTCAGATAAAGTAACAAAATATTTTCATTACAAATTTTACATGTTCGATTGTTATCAGACAATTTGCAATTTGGTGGGACAGGCTCTTAAACACCTAAATTTCACGAAGGAATAGAAACCTAGTTAGATTTTAGTAACAGACAAGTTAATTTGGCATGTTCCGTTTACCTAAACTATACGCACCCTACCGGTTACGAAAACGCAAAAAAAACTTGTTACCTTACTAGTTAGGCAAATTTAGTTAGGTAAACGGAACAAGCAGTTAATTTCAAATGTTCAGAGAGAGAAAAATTACAAAACTACTCTATAAAATACCTTTCTCAGCACTCAAAGAGGTTAAGGCTCTCCATCCCGCGTTCCTCAACCCCTTAGCGGTTCTGAGTGCGTGGTATATCTGTACGGCGTGCGAGGAGGGCACGTGCAGCTCCCAGCCCAGCTCGCCCGCCCAGCCCACGCGCAGCGCCCGGCAAGTGTACCGTTTATTATCGGGGGAGTAGGGCGCTTGCGACACGTGAATACTACGGTGGGTATTCACAGGGAACGCATCATTGGAAAGACCAGCGTCGGTATACCGTTGGAGAATTCTCTGGCTACAATTAGGAGAAAATTGTTTAAGGCGAAGCGACCATTGACCATAGACATCTGCAATCTGCCTATCCTTAACCCTTTAATACATGATGCATTTATACATCAGTCTTTTCTTCCTTACCCAATAGACTATTTTTAAAAAAAATCTATGCTCAATTTACTACCCGTTTCAATTTATGGTATTTAAAAAGAAATCGTGCATTTAAAGGGGAGGGGATAAATTAATAGAAACACCCACATAAAGAGGATAGTTCTTATGTGTGTGTTTAATTTCTAGAAATTCTGAAGAATAACGTTTTCTTCTAGACATAGGAGACATATCTCCTATGTCTAGAAGAAAACGTAATTAACCTCTTAATCCTTCTTATTCTATATTCCCATAGGAATTAAGAGGTTCGTATTCTGGATGTTACATTAAACATTTTTTAAACCAAAATTACTTGTGCTAAAACTGAAAGTGGATGTCTACAAAAGGAAGACCGAAGATGATGGATGGATTGTGTGAAATATTTAGGAAGTGAGTGGATTGGAGAGATGATGGCTGATTGAAAAGTATGGAAGAGCACATTCTGTGTGGAGCCCAGGAACAAGGGCAGGTTGCACTCGTACCCTACCTGTCCGGTCCCTGCACGCTGAGGATGCACAGCTGCTTGGTGACGTCAGTGATGGTAGCCCGCAGCTTGTGTGTCTGTATGATGCGGCGCAAGTGCGCCAGCGTGTGGTTCGCACTGAACCCTGACGACACCACGTAGTAACCACGACCCTAACAATATTCTTAATTAAATGAGAAATTATAACAAATCAATCTAAACTATTTTACCTTTTCAAAACCAGACATATTTGTATAATTTTAAAATAGTTCAAACATTCCAAATAAATCAATCTTACTAATATTGTAAATGCGAAAGTTTAGATGGATGTTTGTTAAAGTTTGTAGCCTAAACGGCTGAACGGATCTCGATGAAATTTTGCATAAATTTAAAACATAGGAATAACACATAGGCTATTTACTTTAATTTTTTTTATTCCACGCGGAAGAAGTCGCGAGAAAAAGCTAGTACATAATACATGACATTGGTAGCCAGGTAGGTAAACTCCGTCCGCGCGGAACTAAAAAAATCAAATGCAAGTAGCCTATGTGTTCTTCCAGACTATCCTCTACATCTATGGCAAATTTTTTAAAATCTGTTCAGGCTACAAACTCTAACAAACAAACATCCATCCATCCATCTAAACTTTCGCATTTATAATATTAGTATGATTGGTTTTATATGATGTACCGTTTCCATTAAGTTAGATTTTTAAACGAAGTATAACACCAAAGTTATGTTCAAATTTACGTAGTTACCTTGAATATAGGCTCGTGCAGCTGTCCGCTGCCGCCGTCGAGGATGCTCACTGTGACGTCAGCTTCTACTCCGCCTTTGTCATTCAGCAGCAAGGAATAAACGACCCTGTTGTTAACGCAATAGAGTTCTAACTGCAGCACTCAATATCCTCAAATCATAAAGAGTCCCTTAGGCTCTACAAGGGTATACTATTATACTACACAAAACTACTCTAGGACTCCATATTCTAATTAATATCAGAAGAATATAGCTTTAGGGGACATAATTTTTTACGGCTACTTATGTCTTGATAAGTGGGCGTGCTTCGGGTAAAAGTAGGCGTGTGCAGGGTTTCCTCCGCCCCCACCACACACATTTATGTAGGAGGAGACGTGCACAAAAAAGATATTTCCCCCTCCTATGTCTTCTGCACCGACAAACCCACTTTCCCTTCCTCCTTGTCGTAAAAAAAGGGTGGGAAGAATAAGGGATTAAAGTTGCGCCTAGTTTTTTTTTATAACATAAGGTGGCAAACGAGCAAGCGGCCACCTGAATCCACTAAAATGGCGAAGCGACCGCTGCCCATAGACATCCGCAATTGCAGATGCGTTATCTACCCTTATCCGACGGAGGAGGGACGCACATAAAAAGGATATTTCCACTTCCTAAGCATCTCGTCCTTCGTCAAATCCACTTCCCCTTCCAATCCTCTCCTTATAAGAAAAGGGTGGTAAAGAGAAAGGGACTTAAATTAGGCCTCCAAAAGGATCTAAAAGGGAGTATAGTGAGCTGATATCATTATACCTGTCGTCTTTCTTAGTGAGGTCGGCAGTGAAGGCGAGTAGCGCGGTGCGCTGCGCGTCCGGCCCCGTCAGGTAGAACTTGCCGTAGTACGACATGTTGAACAGCGCGGCCGCGTTACGACAAGACAGAGCCTCCTCACCTATCTGATTTTATTATTATTGGTAAAAATTAAATTTAGATTAAATTGAGACAGTCAATTCAATTTAATGGTGAGTTATTAAAATTTTGTTGAATAATAAAAATATTTGTATTCTCGTTATCACCGTAATTAAAAGAAGAATCGTTAAATCGTTTTGTATTATCGTGGTAACAAACATCCATCCATTCAAACTATTGCATTTATATTGGTACTAGCTTTCGTCCCCGACTCCGTCCGCGTGGAATTAAAAAACTACGTTATCAGTGAGTAACAGGCTACGTTCTACTATTTTTTTTTAATTTCACGCGGACTAAGTCTCGAGCAACAGCTAGTTTATAATGGTTAGTTCCATACGAGGTGATGATGTTTGGAGAAATCGAAGGTGTAGTCTCCTTGCAGCAGGTGCTCGTAGCGCTGGTCGAGGTTGCGCGGGTAGTCCTGCGTGCCGCCCCAGTCGTACTGCTGCACTCGGATCTACGACAAATTACGCAATAATAATGAACAACGGAAAACAATATTAACATACTAGTTTTCGCCCGCGACTCCGTCCGCGCGTAATAAAGCTAGTAGCCTATGCGTTTTTTAAACTATCTTTTTTATCATGCGAAATTTCATTGATATTTCCACCCAAACTTTCACACCTTTACTCTATACTAATATAATAAGCGTAAACATACACTAATAAGTTACGTAGGATGTCAGCAATCACAGCATATTTTTGAATATTTAATTTTTATAAAAAGCCTCACACTTACAACAAGATTTATGCTATATGTTTTCCCGCTATTTAATTAAGGGGGTAAATAAATTGTAAAAAAAACCGTCAAGCGAGAAAAGGTAAAAAAACTATAAGCTGAAATAAAAAACGTCGTACGTCCAACCGTTTAGGCTACCAACTCTAACAAACATTCATCCATCTAAACTTTCGCATTTATAATATTAGCATGATTAGTATGATTTACCTTCTCCCCGGGCATATAGTAACCAGGTCGTTCCCAGCCTGCACGGGTCTGCATCACCGCGCCATCATCCACCAGATCCTGGTGCAGAGCGTCATGGCTCGCGTCCCTACCGGCCAGCCGCTCGTCGTGCGGGAACACCACGCTGTAGTTCCTTACATACGACTCGTGGCTACACTCACGCACCCAGTGCGCACGCGACAGCTGCGCCGGAGTGAAACGACGCACATCGAATGTGAACATGTTGTACTTCGGCCTGGTATTTAAAAAATGTATAAGCGACATTGGAGCACCGCTTTTATTCCTGCATTCAGGTGGCAGGCTAATGGTGAAGGGGGGTAGGCTAATGACCATTAGCCTACCCCCTACTACATCATTAAGGGCAGGGTCATGATAAAGAGGAAGGTCAGACTGATGATAGGGGCTAGTAAATATATTTCTTTAATCTAACAATGATGTTAATTATTAAATTATTAATATATGGTCAAATTTATTTATGAAGAACTGACAAAAAGTAACAAAAGGACTGAATATTTGCACAGCCTTTCTAGTGATATTCAGAACTCCTGAAGTTTTATATATTAAATTAAGGCAAATATAAAAACAATGCCTAAAATTCGCTTCCATTATTGAATAACTTGAATTAGATATAAAGAACTGACCTTCCAGTAACGATCCATTCCGCCATTTGGATAGCACAGCCGGCAGAGAACATCATACCTGCGGAATTATATCCGCAATTGTGGTACAAACCTAAAAATAATAAAATTGATTTATTTACTCAAGTTAAAAATAACAAAGTGGGAAATTTCGTTAGTATTTCTTACCAAATACGTTGGGATCTTCGCCTAGTAGTGGTTTATGGTCGGGAGTGAAAGACTCCGGTCCGCAAACAGTACTTTTGACGCCGACTGTACTCAGTTTAGGGCACAGAGTGGTCGCACTGGTCATATGTACACCAAATACGTCCCAATCTAAATCGTATAAATGGAACTGGAGGTTATCTGGAACCTGTAATAACAATTATCATTACAAGTATTTTTAACTAAATTTTAATGAAATCACAACTAAAATTTTAATGAAAACCAACATCTTTTAAATTTAATGAAATTAAACATTTACATTTCATTTTAATGAAATTAGATTTACATTTATTGGGCAAAGACTTGATTTAGCCTTGTAACTATTAATATTACTGTTTAGTTAATATTGATTTCAAGTTTAATTTTTTTTATTCTTTTAAAAATTCTTACCTGATCCAACATATGTGGATTCGGTTCGTAACCTCCCACGTGACATGACTCCCCCTGTATCTTGATGTAGAGGTTAACATCGTGATCCCTAATGTTAGGGGCACCGCGGACCTCGGGCGTGGCATCACAAACCACGTACGCGTGCTTGAACGGCACTATCGGTAACGATGGGATACCAGCAAACCTTGCCACTCTTGGACCCCATGCGCCTAGTAAATAAAGGGTCATATAACATTGGACTCAAAAATTGGGAGGTTAAAAAATGATTACAAAGAGGTAAAAATTGTAACATACTGAAACAATGTACAAAAACTTTTTTCTTGGCATTTTTTGATTGCTAATTGAATCGTATAATCACATCTTTAATATAAATATACATAAAAAAACAGATGTTATTATCATGTATATATTTACCTCCACAGTTAACAACACATTTAGTCTTGATAATTCCTTTATCAGTGTGTACCGCGGTCACCTCTTTATTGCCTAGTAAATTATGTGCGTAATGTATGTCCAGGACTGGACATTCTTCATATACCTACAATAACATTTATTTTTATTCGTAAACTATCTTATTATGACAAATTACCATAAAGACATTAATATAATTGCAACGAGCGTAATAAACAAACACTCGGAGAATGGCGCGCTATTCTAAAACGTCTGAATGACATTGACAGCTGTCAGAAAGGGACGGATCTCCAGCGCAGTAAATTTTCTTCTTAACAATAATAATTTGCCAACGTTTACCTTTCCACCATTATTAGTAGCAGCTTTTAACAACGCGCTACAAGCCATTGCCGGGTCAATAGTACCGTCTTCGGGCGAGTAAAGTGCCATTTTGAAAACAGAAGGATCCAGTAACGGGAACAATTTCTGAGCTTCATTAGGATCTAGTACTTGACTAGGTATTCCCATTGCTTTACCTAGAGTATGCAATCTCATATATTCTTGAGTTCGTACCTAAAAGAAGAGTTTGTTTATTCATGTGTCCTCTTTGCGTAATACCCGGTTGACACTTGTCCAGTACAGTTAGGCAGTTGCGACGGCCCGTCTATGATTGTATGGACTCACTGGCACTAGTTAGCGTTCACATTATGCCAGGTAAATGACAGTCCAGTTTTTGAGCGACACTGACCAACTGTACTGGCCAAGAGTAAAACGCGATAATTTCAAATTAACGCGACAATTTCCTAAAGAAATGCGTCCACAGTTACGGGGCGAAATAAAATAAAAATTCTACCTCACTCAGTGTTAAACGTTACATAAGAAGACACTTGGTACATTTTCTCATATTTAATAGCACATACATTCGAATAAAGAACATAACTTCATATTTGAAGCATAATATTGCGTTACGTACCCTACTACGTGATATAAACAATCCTCCATTGTTAATCCATCCCGCGTAGTCACCGGTTTCCTTCTCCAAGCCGCTGTACACTGACCTTGAATCTTGCAACAATCTGACCTCCAAATCGCAAGGCCGGAGAGACCAAACCAAGCCTGGAAGATCAAATCAATTAGTCAATTTTATCGCAGAATATGCCGCAAGAAATAAAGGAGTTTTTTGGCGAAGCGAGGTTCTATACAAGGTAGTGCAACTAAGACTTGGAACCACTCGATAAGCTCTACAAGAACCATAAATAGGGTGTGTTAAGAGTTATGTAAGAATTATTCGTAGACCTGTAGCGCTATTTTCTGTTAGTTTCTACCCTAACGTCGATACTGCTTAGAACTATTTACAGTCTCTGAATGAATCTGAATGAATTGCCGTCTCATACAATCACATCAAAGATTAAACAGGCTTAGAACTCAGTGTTTAGTAAAATAATCAGCTTAATAAACGGTTTGAAAGATACTTATATTTCTTGTATTTCGTACTTGCCTGCTGTATGCCATGTTGTGCCGCTAGTTATCTTAGCCCTCTCTAGTAAGACAGCACTTACGCCTCTCTTAGTCAGTTGATACAATGTGTTGCAGCCAGCTATCCCTCCACCTGGTTAAACCATCAAAAATGGAATGGATCATGTAGGTAGTTCCACAAACTTTATTATCTGTTAAGGAATCTTGCAATGGAGATGTTTACATTCGACTTTTTACGTTTATCTTATTTTCTATTTACGTCTATCGTATTGTTTCAAAGTTATGGATATGTTGGGATAAATTTAATTAATCATGATGTCTGTTCCAATTTATTTCTATGTCCTAAAGGAAGATGACTGACAATAGACTAACTTTAAATTTTACAAAAAATATTTAAATTGAAAAAATAGTCGAAAAATACTTACCAATTATAACAACATCTGCGGATTTTACGACTTCATTTTTTGTAGCGAAGGACCTATATTTCAAATATTTAGCTGCCTTATATTTAATACTTCTGTTATTTAATTTAAACATATTGGAAATATATCAAATACAGTGTTTTCTGTCGCTGCAGCGAGCAGAATAACTGTTTACTTTAGACTATAATTATACGAGATAATATTCGATAACAGTTCGCTAAACAACTCAAGACCTTTCAATACGTAGATGTCCTCATGTCAAAGTTCAAATATGTTTTATCAAAAATTGTTTATTATGTAGCACATCACTGGTTACGAAGACCTTTCTAGTGTTGTAACGTAACTATCGACATCGTAAAACTACCAAGCAATTTGTAAAATGTTACACTTTTTTTTGCGATGGTTATCAATAAACCTTTGTCTAAATAATATTATTTTCGAATAGTTTGGTTATTAAAAATATATGGTAAGCGAACATAAAAAGTGATGTTTGAAAAAATATCGATAATTTGACCTAATAGACGTTTATCATATACTATCGATAGATTGGCAATTTATCGATAGTATTTAGCAACGGCGCACATGACTATAAAACTCACTACATAAAACAAAATCTGAATGGGTCAGCATAATAATTATATCAGCGACACTATCAAGACAACGGTATAAATAGTTTCTTGACGTAATACAAAACTTAATTTTTTAATGGGCGTTGTTTTTTTAAGAATTGCGTCATTAAATTTTACAATCTTCTAATTCAAAAGAAATGAATCAAATATTTATAACCGTAATACACGGAAAATATTAAAAACACTTGGAATTTTAAAAATTAAATTAAAAGGCAATTTTTAAAACAATAAAATATACACATTTATTACTCAAGCAGATACACTTCAGTATTACATAAGTTTTTTTTTCTTAATTGTGATAATTTTTATGGTGATAATACTTATGAATACTAAAGTTAAAATATTTTTATAATAATTTTGAATAACAGATTTTTTAAAAGGCAAGAGTATTGTCCGTAAAATATATCAAGTTTTTAATATATTTATAAATGCACACTATAAAGGCCTGATTGATATACAATTGATTTTACGAGTGTGTTTTTTTAGAAAAACTGTTTTATTTGAATTTTTTTCAATACCTACAAATAAAGTAAAAAAATCTTTGAATCAAGCACTATCCTATTAAAATTATTAAAATGTGAAAACATTCTTAACAAAAAAATCTATAACTATTTGAAAATTTATTATATAAAATATAAATGCGTTATATACTTGAAACGTTAAAGTATTTACAAATTAAATCACAATAAATATATCTTATATTCTAATGTTCAAAGTTTTTTATATCTAGTGTTGAAAGGTGCTGATTAAACCGCTGGTATTATCGGACTATATAAAATATTTTTTAAAATCATAATTGTTCACATATTTTATCCTAAATTCAGTAATATTAAACTGTATTTAACTCTAACAAGAACAATAGCTGTTCGCGTGCGGCTTCATCTGATTTATTACAAGCCAATAGCAGCAAAGCAAGATTTCCATGGTACCGGTAATTGTTAGCCAATGGCAAAAACCTTCATTGTCATTTGTGCAGTTATATTTTGACTCTTTTTACTTATTTTTACAAGAGGATTGGTCGCAAAGCGACTATATGTGCCTATAGGACTATTAAACTAAGAAACACTTAGGGCCTGACCCACCACTGGCTGACAAACGCACAGATAGCTTTAACAATAAAAAAAACGATTAGCTTAAAAATGACGTTACTGTCAGATAAGGGAATACGATCCAATATTTCCATCACAACAGATATACACCTTGGATTATTATCGGACAATTTAAAATTTGGTGGAACAGGCCTTTAAGCATCTAATTTATTTCTTTAAGGATATATCTTCCAACTTTAATTTTGACATTTGCAAATGAAAGTTCTAGAAATGTAAACAATGAAATAAAATATTTATGTTGCACGGGAACAACAAGTCTATACTATCTACACTATAATATAATAAAGCGTAAACACACACTTCTTTGTTGCCTAAGATGTCAGCAATTACAGCATATTTTTGAATAATTCTTTTTTGATAAAAAAGCCCTACACTTACGTCACGCTAGGCTACATATTTTCACGCTATTAAATATAGGGGGTAAACATTTTGGATAAAAACCCTAATGTGGGAAAGAGGCCATTAGTTGTTCCCAACATTAAGGAAGCAACTGCCATGGTTAGACATCATGTCATTTTGACATTTGCTATTGATAATTTGACAAATGTAAATAATAAAATAATATTTTCATAATTTCATGCGGATGAAGCCGCACGGGAACAGCTAGTGTTATATAATGTCATGTATACTAGTGTAGTGTTCACACATGGTGCGGGCTAGCTACCCGCGGCGGGGTGAGTGCGAGGCGGTGTCTCGCGGCATGGTCTCCAGCCGCCGCGGCCGCCGCCGCCTCCAGCTGCGCACGCAACGCTACCAGCTCGCGTGTACGCTGGTATATCGGGTCCTAAGCGAATTCTTTATTATACCCCAGTTCAAAGAAACCTATCTAAACCTTTAAAAGACTGAAATGATAGACTTATAATTGTAGACTTTTAAAACTTAAAACCCTCAAGATACAGTATGGCCTAGTGTGAGGGTGTCAGCAATTTCGGAAAGTGATTTAAGAAGTAAGAGATATTGTATAATAGACAGTGTAGATTGTTATATTTTTTGAAATAAATTAAATCTTCATTTTTCTTTTCATTTACTGAATACGTTTTCGCCCGCAACTCCGTTGGCGTGGAATTAAAAAATAATTGTGTTCTTCCTCTACATCTTTGAGAAATTTCATCGATATCCGTTCAGCAGTTTAGGCTACAAACATCCATCCACCCAGCCATCCATCTAAACTTTCGCATTTAATATCAGTCAGAATGAGAAATAAGCTACGCTGAAAAACAAAGCTATTTGAGTACGTATATAAAATACTAGCTTTCGCCCGTGACTCCCTCGCGTGGAGTTTAAAAAAGAATAAAAGTGGGTACTCTATTTGTTCTTCCAGATCGTCTACATCTATACCAAATTTCATCAAAATCTGTTCAAAATTTAGGCTAGAAACTCTAACAAACATACATCCATCTTAACTTTCACATCATACTAATATTATAAATGCGAAAGTTTAGATGGATGGATGTTTGTTAGAGTTCCTAGCCTAAATTCTGAACAGATTTCGATGAAATTTGATATAGATGTAGAGGATAGTCTGGAAAAACACATACTCACTATTTTTTAATCCCACGCGGACGGAGTCGAGGGCGAAAGCTAGATTATATTAGTATGATTACTAACTTGTTGTCTCATCGTAGGATTCCATCTGCAATACAAGGCCTTCCATAGCTTTATGATCCTAAGTGAAGCGACAGGAACAAGCACGACTTGTGGGCGCGAATGCGCTCCCGCCGAGCTGGGCCCCCAGTACAACGGGTTGAGGTACAAGTCCTGTCGGCTGTTGATGTACGACCACAGAGAGACTGTCTTGCTCTTCACTTCTGCAAGATTGAACATTTCCTTCTATGCAGTTCCACTTAGATATCATCACCAGCCCACTGTACGTCCCCACTGAAGGGCTCGGAGTTTGGTTAGTACAAATACGATGTACTAAGTAACGTTACTGACTGCTGTTAATCGGATATTTGACACTTTAGTACAGTAAAAGTCCGACTACGTTCAATATTACTTGGTGCCTACCCTAATTTTTTTTAATCAGTAAAATAGTTTGTTTTACATTAATCAGACATATGACAGTAAATAAGGCAATACCTAAAAAAAAAATTAACTATCACTTTTCCGACGTAGTGAGTCTAAGGGCCTGTCCCACCACTGGCTGATAGAGGCTCAGGTAGCTTAAAAATGACATCACATATTTTATACGTTCGATTGTTATCAGAGAATTTAATTTGGTAGGACTAACATTTGCAAACATTCTGTTCTACTTCTAAGATATTTAACAAAAAAATAATTAAAAACACTTAAAATATGGCTACGCGTTGCGTCACAAAGTTAGCAGTTCATCATCCTCAGTGAAGGTTTCTCATACTAAATCTTCACTAAGGGTCACACACATGATTGCCTGGAACACACTTGGTCAGTACAGTTGTACA